GCTGCCATGAACCTTTCATGTGAGTTGCGTATAACAAACTCCAGTTCAAATGGGTGTGAGGAAAATAGGAGTTATTGGCAAAGCTCAAACGTGAAGGGAAGGGAGCTTTGGGCAAGGCGCAGCCAGGCTCCTGCCCCATTTCCCTGCAGCTCCTTCGCTTTTGCCCTTGTTGGCAGCGGCACCCTCAGCTTGGTGCCTCTGTAGCCCCTGGGGCAATAAGCTTTCCTGGTCCTGACCACTCGGGTGGCCCCTGAATTGCTCTGATTGGGCTACCTGATGCAAGGATAGCTATCAGGGAGGGAAACTAGCCCTGACAGCCTCAGGCCTGGGTTCCCTGCCCATCCTTAAGCAGGTGATGATGGCAGAGTGTGTGACGGTGGCGGTTGCAGGATACAGGGGGGGAAAGTGCTGTGTGGACAGCCAAAGAACATCCTCTGCAGCCTGGCAACTCAGTGGGTCTGCAGACCTGCAGCCTCCATATCACCTGGGAGCTCATCGGAAATGCAGGAATCTAGATGCCACCCCAAACCTACTGCATCAGACTCGCATTTTATAAGGGCCCCAGGAGACTGTACCTTAAAGTTGAGACGCCCTGCCCTGCAGCATCCTTGGGTAGGATCCCTGAAAGCAGAATGGCTGGATCAAACAGCATGGTTGTTTTTAAAATTCTTGATACATATCGTCAAATTGTCCCATAAAAGTTCTATCACTTTTTATTGCCACCCTGGGATCTGGGTGTTGGAGACCTTATGCAATTTGGGGAAGCCCACTTTAAGAAAAAGAATAAAAAATTAAGCATAAAAGTGAATATTTAGAATAATAAAAGAAAATTGAATGATACCTCAAGAATCATAAAATAACATTATTAGTTTTAATTATCAATAAGTTGAAACATGAAACTGCCATATTTGTAAATAAAAAATGGTCACATATGGTCAAAGAGCAATTTCATGTTGTTCAACCTACTTTTCCCTACATTTTTGGCTGCATATTCTTTTTTCCTTAACAACTTCATTCAAATACAATTCACATACCATACAATTTACCTGTTACAATGTACAATTCAGTGTCTCTTACTATAGATCCACAGAAGTGTGCAGCTATCACCACAATTAGTTTCAAACATTTTCACCGACCAAAAAGAAACCCCATACTGTATCCTTACTGTTACCGCCCAATCCCCCCATCCTTAGGTAACCATGAATCTACTTTTTGTTTCTATAGATTTGCCTATTCTGGACATTTCATAATCATGTAACATGTGGTCTTTTGTGTCTGGCTTCTGGCCTTTGAGATCATTCCTTTCGTTTTCTTTGCTCCCACTAAAATCTGATTACATTTGCTTACACTGCCTTCAGATTGAATTCCAAGAGTGAGCATACACTAGTCTACCGCCTAGACCCCTTGGGAGAGCTATTTCTAAGTGTGTAAGTTCATCAATACATTTTTTGTGTTTTTAGGAATAAAAAAAAGGAATAAAATAAAATCAACAAATTTTATTGAACAGATTCAAACCAGAACACACCTATCTAGAACACTTTACTTACCCAGAACTCAGGTACTGGGGTCCAGGCAGGAGCATGCATTGTAGCTCAATTACTTAATTCCTAGAAAGCGCCCGTTTCCCCTTTGTAGTTCTTTGGTTGAGAAAGTCTAGTTAGGTAAAATGGTTTCCAGACCCCCAAGAATTTGGGCTGAGGGCAAACCAAGACTGCTGAAGGCGAACTACACTGACAATCCACTGGATTCCAACTCTCCCCCTTCCCTCGCTCCTACTGCCCTCCTCAGAAAGTCCCAGCCAAGAGGTACCGTACTATCTCTTCGTGGGCGCAAGGAATGGAGCTGCCTGAGGCTTTCTGGGACCCCTCACCTGGGAAATGGGAGCGGAGCCCCTTTTCTCTTTTCTGGCAGCCAGAAATAGCTGTGGGGCAGGCTTCTGACGCAGAGTGGGGATTTGCGGCTGTGTGCTGCCCGTGGTGGGGGGTAAGACATTCTGGGCTGCCTGGGCGTTCTCTCCTGGAGAGCTGCTCCTGCAGGCCATAGGCTAGGCAAGCTTAGAAAATTCCCTTCTACAACTTCGAACCTCTGTGCCCCTGCTTTCCTCTTCCCTGAGGCTGCTGCAGCCCAATCCCCAGTCCTGGTCAGACACAGGAGAGGGCACCCTAGCCCTCGGGCAAGCATTCGTTCTCAGCTTTGGATCCCAGGACAAAGAAATCTCAAGCGGCAGAGAGCAGAGGCACAGGCCCTGCAGGCGCTCACAGATACACCTCTGCGTCTTTTTGCAAAAAATTCTTAGCTTCCTGGGAGGGGGAAGACAAGAGTCAGGGAGCCTCTTACTCAGGACTCACTTGAGGTGCCAGGAACTGTAGACTTGGGACTCTGAGAACTGTAACATATTTCTTAAGCTTTGTAACTCCCCATGTACAGTACTGTTTTTACCGGGTGTCCTTGTTTTGAAGAGCAAGAAAACCCTTAATTAAAAAAAAAAGTTAAGATGCTCATTTTTGGCAGCAGTTTGGTGAAGACAAGGAGTATCCCCCCCAGTAGCTTGCTATGGGGAAGGGAAACTAGAGCAAGAGAGTGGGTGGTAGCAATTTTGAAGAGGAAAGGGAAGCCAGCTAAGTCCCAGGACCTGAAGCAAGAAAGAAATGGGAACACAGGAACAGGCCAGGGGCCTGGTGATAAGGGAGGCACCCTGCTTCCTCAGAGTCCCTAACAACCAGGAAGTGGGCCTCAAGCATGTCCTCCCTCCTCCTCCGCCTTCCTCCCACCTCCTCTTACACCCAGTCCTTGGGGAACTGTTGCTGGAGATCAGCATCTCCATGGCCTGGTCCCCGGGCTGTTTGCCCCAGATACTTCCTGGGTGGCAAATGGGTGAGTCATTCCCAGAAGGCTGAAATAGCCCAAGCTCCAGTTATCCCATAGTCCTCAGGAGTCTCTGCCCCAGGCAGATACTTTTCTTAGCATTATTTGCTACCATATAGCAAGTAACTGGGCAGTTTCAAGCCAGACATTGTGTTCTCTAGAACACAACATGCACCATCCACCCGTTCCACATCTAATGGTTTGAATGTCATCACGAAGACGGCTGAATTGGGCAGCCAGCACTAACCATAGCTGCTCCCAAATCGCAGGGATTCCCCACTCCCTAGCAGTCTCAGAGAAGCATGGGAGGGCAGCCAGATGTCTCCATGCCCCTGAGAAGGGCTCAGGAATTAGTTAAGGAAGCTGACTGACCCGGAAGGAGTGTGGTGGTCATGCTAAGAGGACACACTGCACAGAAAACAGTGAGTCCAGGGATCACAGATGTTCTAGTGAATGACAGCAATCAAAGACAGGTTGCATTTTGGTAGAGGCCACAAAGGAGGGGGACAGTAGCAAATCAGAGACCTTCTCTCAAACTTAACATGTTCAACAGAGGCCCTAGCCAGGAAAGGAGGATGGAGAAAATCATGAACTGAGTTTTAAAATGAGGAAAAAACAAAACACCCAAGAAAACATGTATATGGGACTGAATTTTCCTAGAAATGCTAGGATTTCATTTTCTGTCATCAGGTGAATTAAGGTGAGCAATAGAAAAAATAAAGTAGTATTTCCTACACAGGGCTTCCTGGCTGTGGTGGGGGCGTACAGGCAAAGATTAGAGTTTCCTCTGACTGGCAAGGCTGGAATATACTCTAGGGCCTTGTTAGTCCAGGTGTGGTCTGAGGACTAGCAGCTCAGCCTTCATCTGGGATCTGGTCAGAAATTTAGTCTCGGCAGGGCACGGTGGCTCATGCCTGTAATCCTAGCAGTCTGGGAGGCTGAGGTGGGTGGATCACTTGAGGTCAGGGGTTTGAGTCAGGAGTTTGAGACCAGCCTGAGCAAGATCCCATCTCTTCCAAAAATAGAAAGAAATTAGCTGGACAACTAAATATAGAAAACAATTAGCCAGGCATGGTGGCGCACACCTGTAGTCCCAGCTACTTGGGAGGCTGAGGCAGAGCCCAGGAGTCTGAGGTTGCCGTGAGCTCAGCTGATGCCACAGCACTCTGTCTCCAAAAAAAAAAAAATAAATAAATAAAAGAAATTTAGTCTCAAGTCACACCCTAGACCTAAGGAAACAAACCTGCATTTTAAGATCCTAAGGTGATTCATATGCATATTAAAGTCTGAGAAGCATTGCCTTAAGGGATGATTCAGAAGATTTCTATTTATTTATTTTTAAATGCAAAAATCTTTACATAGCAGGTAGAGACAGAGCTGCTCATTTCTGAAGTTGGTTAGTTTGGTGTGAGGCCTTGGTCAAGTTTAGCAGCAGAGTATCTGATAACGCTTCTTGAGATGAACAAAATGAAGAAAGGCTGACCCTTGTGACTGTGGGTGAGCAACAGCTGCCCAGGCACGGGCCCGCCCTGATCAGCAGTGTGCAGGGTGAGCATGGCTAGGGAGGCCACAGCCAGCACACTTGGGAACAGCACGAGCCCTGCTCACAAGTGACGCAAGAGCCTATCGTGTTTGGCTCAGAGAAACGCTGGCTGCCAGTCCAGGCTGCCAGTCCCAGTTGATCACTGAGCTGTTTTCTAAGCCTGGATGTCTTTCGAATCCCTAGGAACATATTTCACTGTTTTCTTTCATGATTCTTACAAGTACAGCTGACTTGGAGAACACTGTCAGTATTACGATTCCCACTATGTAACTCTGCTTAATGGTGGGCCAGGCCAGGCTGCCCACCTAGGTCCTGAGTCATAGGGAGCCCACACCCAAAGGCCTTGGCCGCTGCAAGCCAGGCACTTGGTCAAGCCTCCTCTCTGATGGCTGGAGGCAAATTCCTAAGCCTAATTCATTCTGCCACTGAGGAAACACCCAGAGCCGCCCCCTCGTCCCAACAGCCCCCCCCCCCTCCTCTCTGATCGCAGGAACAACGCTAGGGCTCTGCCTTCCCTTTATCCTGCCACATCCACCACGGGCCCTACTTTGCTTCCAAGGAGAAGCAGCTGCAAAGACCACAGACACCCCAATTTACATAAAATTATCTCACTCCATTTTATTTAAGATTTTTTTTATCCAGTTAGTAAAAGAAAGATGTGTCTCTCTTTATACATATGTACAAGTTCAGTTATAAAAATAGACAGCACATTCAAAGAGAAAAAAGGCTTGGCATTTTTCTGATTCCCTCTAAATAGCATCTGTACACAGGAGTCTGGGTTTGGGCAGGGGAATCTTAATGATTTAAATTAAATGATTCCCCTACAACCCCGCCTCCAAAAAAAGTTTTAAAAATCAATCTATCTAAATTCAATTCCGCGATTTTCAGGTGTGCAAATTAGAGGCTGGCCCGCCCGGAAGCACCTGCTCCACCAGGGACATCAGGCAGGCCGGGAGAAACACCTCCCATGCAAACACTGCCCCTTTGCCTGTGCTGGAGGGTGCAAGCTCAGGCCCGTGGGGCTGGGGCTGGGAGGGCTGGTGCCCAGCTTGCCCTCTCTCTCCACCCTCTCTACCTCACTCCTGCTGTCCCTTCCTTTCTCAGTGCAATACAGACAGTGCATACAGCCAAGCAGGGGGCTGAAGGGCAGGGGCCGGGAAACTGTGCATTCAGGATGGACAAAGGGGAGTCTACAAGAGGGGCAGTGAGGATGTCCTGCTGATTGAGGTGGCTCCTGGTCTCTTTACTGGCTTCTGGGAGTCCCTTAGGTGGGAGCTGCTGCTACTGTTGCTGGTAGGACCTGAAGGTTCTCTGGTGTGAACCATGCAGGGCAGGGGAGGCAATGCTGGGAACACAACCGCCCGTGGGTGCGCTTCCTCTAGCCTCTGTCATCCTTATCAGCCACTACCTTCTCTTGCAGTCACTGTTCTCTTCAATGATGACACTCTGGCAAATAGTGTTTAGAGACCTGGGGAGCTGCCCAAAGGGTGTGGACACCAAGGTACACGATCTCCTCCCTTCCTAACCTTACAGGAAATCATCACAATCTCAAGAGAAGTCTCCACCATGGAAGGCTCTTCACAGCACCTGCAGAGCCTTTGCAAGGGACGTGGTCAGAGCCAAAGAGTGGAATGAGGATGGAGACAGTGTGCCTGAGCATCTAAAGGGGGCTATCATGTCAGGCCCTTCCCTGGTAAGAGGTTTAAGACTTGGCTATACAGTTCATCAGAGATGCTGTGGGGCTGATCCCTGTCCTGGGCCTTTCCTCCTATGGGTACCTCAGATATTCCTTTTGAGACACAGGTGATGAAAGTGCTCACACAAACCACCTGCCCATTCTTCCCTTGCCACACTGGACATCTCTGCCCTCTGACTCAGGATGTTAAGATGCTGCACTGGGCAAGCCATCCAAAGGCGATTTGCAGGCCAAGACTCTAGACCTTGGTTTGGTTGAAGGAAGTTGGAGGGTCCAGATGGTTACCGTCCTCCAGACGGATTGGTGCCTTTGCCCTGTTTCCGGACCAGGGAGTCTGAGGCTAGGCTGCTGGTCATGTGGAGGTTCTTGGGGGTCCCAGGAACATTATTTCCTTTGCTCAAAGGGGAATTCAAAGGAGAAGAGGCGCTTGAAGGTCCAAAGTCAGCAAGGCCAGCAGGCCGAACAAGGGATGTCTGCAGAGGACTGCTGGCGGAGATTCCTGTGGGGACGGAGAAAGAGACAAGAGTGTAAGCACCAGTCCTGCATGAGCTTCCTTGGAGCCTGTGGTCTTGGTAACAAGTGTCCAGGCTGGAGGACAGGTGGTGGAGAATCCCTCCCTGTTACTCCTTGCCAACCTCTTCCTGGCATGTGTGCTTGCTCTTCCTACCCACTGTCTTCAGTAAGGGGGATGGGGTTTTAAGAGAAAATGACGTCTGCCTAGCCCTCTCCATATTACTTCATCCACAGAGAGTAAAATGTTCATCTTGGCATTCTGGACAGTGCACACACGATTTGGGACACCAACGCTGCAGGATGAGAGCTGTAAAACTTAACAGGCACCAATGCGTTTTCCTTTTCTTTTTTCTTAGGACATCACTTGTGATTAGCAGTTTCCTTCTCAATTTCATAGATGATTCCTACTCCCCAGTAAGCCTGGCCAGGGGCATAAGGCTGCCCACTCTCTACCCTGTGTCTATACTCATGCAGTTCTACTTACGTAGGCTGTGCCCACTCCTGCTCTCTGAGCTATACCACTGCAAGAACGCAGTTCAAATCCCTCATCTTTAGTCATGACTCCCTGGGCAAAAGCGAACTTTCCTTTTTTCTAATACGAGCCAGCCAAATCTACTTACGTTGCCTAATATGATTCTTCAGTTGTTTCTTGTGTAAAAGAATTCTAAGTGCTTGGTGGGCGGACATGCCTCTCTCCTCATTCACAGTGGAACTGCAGGTAACCTCTAAACCCCTCCCCCCTTCCCTCGCTTCCCATTCCAGTTGCTAAGCACGGCTGAGTTTTCTCGTGCTGCTGTACCCTTTGTCTCCTTCCCCTCCTGCCCCCTTTTCAGTCAGGTCCTAGGAGAAACCCTGATGAGTGTCACATTCTGCCCCATCTACGGGTGAGACCCTACAACAGCAGCCTTGACTACTGGAATGACTGTTGTTCTCCAAGGATGTGATGAGTTGGCAAAGGGTTAAGAAACACTAGGCTAGGCTATTATAATTCATATTTCCTGGATGAACCAATAATGAAAGCTCAGATTCCTGTAGTAGGAGAAAGGGGAGGTAAAGTAACATTTACTGAGCACTCACTACAGGCCAAGCACTTTCTATTTAAGAATGCCTTTACTTGCTACAGTAATTGATACTACGCTCACATTTTGAACGGGGAGACTGGTCTGTAAATGGGCTCTCCCTTTCTCACTATGCCCAGATGTCCATGTTCCATGGCTACAATCACTGTTCATATATCACGGTCACAACAGCCACTTCTCTTCACAAACTGTCCACAGGCCCTCGCTGTACACCTGCTAAGGTCCTGCCCATCAGGTCTCATGTCTTTCCAGCCTTGACACCCACTGCTACTCTTCACTGCAACCTGGCTGACCCGTTTGGTGACCCCATTGCCTCTGTCACCAGTTGAAATCCTTCCTCATCCTTTTCCTTTTTGAATTGCAGTTTGGCAACGTTATCAGCAGACCCATGGTTCCTCCTCCTCCTGACCTACAACCGCAGTGAAGCCTCCTCTCTCTTTCCACGCATCTGTATGCTGCCTTGTACGGCTGCTGAACATATTGCACGCACGGCTTCCCCCTCTCACTTCTATAGTCCACGCAGGAGCAGGGTCGATGCGTTACATTCCTATGCATACAGCAGGTGCTTAATACCTAAGGTGATGGAACATCACATAGCTGGATGAATGTTAATTATGCTAGTGTGGATTACTGAAATGTGCCTCTCAGAAAAAACCTGGGAAGAAAAATAAAATCAATTTTCAAAAGGAGGAAAAACTGTCTAAAGTAGTATAGCCCACAATTCAGCACTCTCTTCACAGCTACTTCCAATTCAAAGGTGGCACTGTACCAAGTCATGAGGTCAAGGGGAGAATCAAGACTGCTCAATGCAAAGAAGCAGAACCTCAATCTGGGCTCCGGGAAGGAGGTTCCTGGCCTTAGAGTTTCCTACATGTTCTACCAGGCCGAACGAGCCTAAAGCCACCCGGGGCCTCCGCACCTTTAGACACGTTGTACCCGTACGCAGCATAGGCAGCTGCAGAGGCCGCCGCAGCCCCTGCTTTGGCTCCTGCCATTGCGGCGGCACTGCCCGCCGTGGACTTCCGGCTTCGGCCCTTCCCTGCTCCTTTGGCTGTGCTTCCTGAACCTTTGGGGCGGCCTCGGCTTCGGGCTGAGTGACCACGTCCTGCAGCTGGCATTTCCTGAATGGAAATTCCTGTGGGAACAAATCGGCCAAGAGGAAGAAAATGAATCTCTTCAAAACGTTAACATAATCTTTCCCTGACAGGGAAAGCTGGCTCTCAGGGTGTTTGTTTAAGGACCCCTGAGGAGGTCTATGTCTCCATTCAATGGATAGGCCACTGAGTCACACAGAGTTGCTAAGAATCCTAAACAGCTAAAACAGCCTTACTGCTCACACCACTTTTCATTGTAAAGAGTGGTCCTGTTACTCCCGAACTTCTTTAAACTAGTCTGTTACTAATTGAACTTCAGGGACTTGCTATCTGCGATTTACCTGCACACTCTAATGTGCTCCTGTCTTGAAGAGTCAACTGTTGCTCTCAAGTTTTAACCTTAAAACTCTTCAAGAAATAGCACCAACACTGGTCCCCACACAACAAACTGAGAAAGGCCCAGAAAAGCTAATTTTAATTAAAAACTACACAGGGATGACTGGAAAACAAACAAGTTTTAAATCTTTATAAAGTTCTTATTTTGCTTGCTCTAAACCTTCTCTTTCTTCTTTTCACTTGACAAGGCTATTGAAAGAATAAGCCTAGGGGCTGCAGGCCGAGCGCACTGGCAGAGGTCGAGTGCGTGACCCCTCCCCGCTCCCTTTGGCAAAAAAAAAAGAATAAGCCTACAAAAATCTTTTTGCTCCATTCCACTTTTCCCTAAAGAAAGAAGAAAATGCCATAATTCTAGAAGGAATCAGGACCTTACCCACCACCACTCCAGTGCTGGGCAGTGGACCACGCCCAAGCTGGAAGACATAGCAGCAGCACTTACCGTTGACGGTGTCTGAGACAGAGCCTGTTATGGATGCAGGAGAGTTGGTGGCTCGAGACTGAGGGGCTGAGGAGGCTGGGTCATCCACAATGACCAGCATGTCACTGCTGCTCTCGTCAGGGGGAATGGAGCCAGTGTGCAGCTCACTGCTAATGGAGATCTAGAAAAGGAAGGGTTGAGATTACTACGACTCCCAGTACCCACTGCCCATGGCCTCGCACCTATGTAAGAAGATGCATCACAGTTGAGGCTAGATCCACCTCTGGCTCCCAAGAAGCCAACCTGTCCCCATTTGCTTTTCTCCATATGAATCCCATATGCAACCCTCTTCTATTAAGGTGGGAGGACTCCAGGAGAAGGAAAGGCTGCCCAGCAGTGTCCCCGGTATAAGGTCAGGACACAGTCCCCAGCACCTCACCTCACTGAAAGGGCTAGGCATAGCCGAGTCCACGCTAATGAAGGAGTCATCCCCGTCAGCAGAGAGGTTGGAGTTATCAGCTGAGGGAACAAATGGGATCACCAGGTTGACACCTTCTTTTCTCCTTTTCCCATCCAATTCATCTTCCTTTTTCTTCTGGGAACACAGATTGGGACAAATGGAAAAAGCATGAGGATGCACTCTCGAGAGAAAGTGGGATTAAGGAAGAAAAGGATGACAGAGCTTGTATTCTTTACTTTATAAACGTCTCAATTAGCATATTTTGTCATGTGTTTTTATTTTCTTTTTTATTTCAGCATATTATGGGGGTACAAATGTTTAGTTTACGTATATTGCTCTTGCCCAACCCGAGTCAGAGCTTCAAGCGTGTCCATCCCCCCAGACGGTGCACACCACACCCATTAGGTGTGTATATTCAATTAGCATATTTTTAAGGACTAAAAACCTCATAAGGAAGAATGGATGGCTTAATGAGAGTTCATGTGTATTTTGTGAGACCCCATTTCTACAAAATATAGAAAGATTAGCCGGGCATGGTGGCACGGACCTGCAGTCCCAGCTACTCGGGAGGCTGAGGCAGAAGGATTGCTTGAGCCCAAGAGTTTGAGGTTGCAGTGAGCTATGATGATGCCACTGCACTTTAGCCAAGGCGACAGAGCAAGACCCTGTCTCAAAAAGAAAAAAAAATCAAGCCTGATTGCCCCTGGTAGGGCAAGGGGTGTGGCCAGCCTCTGGTACATCCAAGCTGTGCACTTACGGGGGCTGAATGAATGTAGTTTCACAAAGACTGCAGTGCTGTCAATATATTTTCTGCACATCTGTTTTTTTAAAAGACTCAATTTTTTTTTAGAGCAGTTTCAAAGCAAAATGGAGAGCATGCATATCTACTTTTTCTGTGCACGTTTTAAATATGCATGAAGAGAATGAAGAGCCTTATACCCAAGGAATAATGGAGTTCCTTTGTCACTATTTCCTCAAACTACATGTAAACTCTTATGGGTTGAGTGACTGAGCTACACTAAAGCAGTTCTAAATCAAGTTCAGTAGGGCTCTGTCATGGTTTAGGGACCTGTAATCATAGAATGAACTTGGATACATCTGTGAATCTCATTCACCCAATATACCACTGCATTTTTATCTACATCTATAATATGGTTAATATGCCATGTCTTCATGCAGTTTATGCTCAGAGCAGAGATAGTACCTGATGCAAACTGTTAAACCCTACAATGTTCTTTTTTTTTTTTTTGAGACAGAGTCTTGCTTTGTTGCCCGGGCTAGAGTGAGTGCCGTGACGTCAGCCTACCTCACAGCAACCTCAAACTCCTGGGCTCAAGCAATCCTTCTGTCTCAGCCTCCCGAGTAGCTGGGACTACAGGCATGCGCCACCATGCCCGCCTAATTTATATATATATATATATATATTTTTAGTTGTCCAGCCAATTTCTTTCTGTTTTTTTAGTAGAGACGGGGTCTTGCTCTTGCTCAGGCTGGTCTCAAACTCCTGAGCTCAAACGATCTGTCTCGGCCTCCCAGAGTGCTGGGATTATAGGTGTGAGCCACCGCGCCCGGCCTAAACCCTGCAATGTTCTATGGGAGAAAACCATCTTTTCTTCTTTGATATTATTTCTGAATATTAAAGCTATTTTATTTTAAACAGTAGTAAGTAATGCGTTAGATATTTGAGGGTGGAATAGAGATGGCAGCACAGGCTAGAAGGATTTTTTTTTTTGAGACAGAGTATCGTTCTGTTGCCCCAGCTAGAGTACAGTGGCATCCTCATAGCTCACTGTACCTCAAACTCCTGGGCTCAAGCGATCCTCCCACCTCAGCATCAGTAGCTGGGACAATGAGTATGCACCACCATGGGTAGATCATTTTTTTATTTTTTGTATAGAAGGGGTCTCACTCTTGCTCAGGCTGGTCTCAAACTTCTGGCCTCAAGCAATCTTCCCACCTTGGCCTCCCAGAGTGCTGGGATTATAGACATAAGCCACCACACCTGACCGGATTTTGATCGTTCATTCATAGGATTTTTCAACTTTGTAAATGACACGAGTACCAGGGGCATCCTTTAAGCTAGAAACAGTTCTGCTTAGAGGAGGTCTAACTGAGGATGTAGATTTTGCAACAGGAAGAGCTAGTACGTCTACTGGAAAATGCTATAATACAGACAGGCGCCTAGGCAGCTGACCATCAATGCCATACAGGCAAAGGGCCATGAGGCAAAGGGAAGAAACTGACCTCCACTTAAAAGCAGAACCAGTCTGAACATGTAGCGGATGATAGGTTTCAGGTAAACCAAACAGGCCACAGAAATGGGGCACGAACAAGGATGGGATTTGAGGGACCAGAGCTATGGAGATAGTTGAAGCTCAGGTGGCTATCTTGTTTAAGATTAGGAGCCCAACCAGGCCTGGTGAAGATGGGAAGGGTAGTATAACCCAAAGGTAAATCAAACCCACTAGAACAAGTTAGCACTCTCAAGAAGATAGTAAAATGGTACCAAACTACAGCCTGCAGGCATAGTATGTCTGGAACCTAGTCAGAACGAATGGGCTGACCCCTGAAACAAGAATAAGTCCTGACGGCCTCACTTCCAATTGCACGTCAATGAAGACTGGAGATAAGAATTACTGATGTAATACTTTAGTAGAAACAGCAAGATAGGGAGAAATGTAGAGAAATGACATCCCACTTTGTAGCTAGCCTGGTAGGCTCAAGCAGGAAAAGTCAGAAAGGAGACAAAAGACAGCTCAAATCCTTGGTGTGAATTGGATAAAAAGAGATGACCAGACTGGCCAGGGATTTATTTTTCCAGTGGTAGGAGACAATGATACACTAGCAGAATTATAGTAGAAGGATTAGATCTCATGACCTCTTAGGCCCTTTCTAAGATTTTATAGAATCTGATAATATATGTAAATAATATCCATCTTACCCATACTTTAGCCTTATGCTCTGTAACAGCCCTGAAAAGTCATTTTCATAATTAAACTGTGACCACTGAAAGGGGGTGTGCAGGGAGTACATATCTGCCAAGGCTGCATTTCTCCTGATCAAACATAAGTCAGCCCAGAACTGCAACTAATCACACTCAGCTGGAGCTGGATACCATCCAATAACCAAGATAACAAGCCATGTACCCCAAAGTCTTTTCTGCAAGCACCCCATGCCCCACCAGCCCCTATCTGCCACCCCAGGCTGAATATACCTTCTCTGCATACTTTTCCCTCTTACGCTTGCGCTCTTTCACTCGGTTGCTTTCCTCCTGCTGCCGTTTCTCTTCCTGTCGCAGTCTCACTACCAAGAAAATAAAAAAAAGACCTGATGAAGTACTTGTGGCAATCATGATCCTCATTCTCTGAAATTAAGGTGGCCATGTCCTCTGATATTTATGTTCTAAGATATGATTTCTATCTATTTAAGGCAGATAACCAGTAGTTTTCTAACTTAGAGAAAGAACAGAGTTCTCATATTCCTAATAGGTTTTGGGTTTAAATTGAGATTCCATTTTATTATTATGGGCCTTTTCTTGCCTTGTCTTTCCCCTTTTTTATTTTCAGCCTTTTACTATCTCTGCTTTGCACAGATCGAGTATAGTTACAGAGTTCTAAAAGGCTTCTGGAAGGTGCTGGCAAATGTGAGCTTGTTTTCTGGATGTGATGCTGTGGAAGTCCTGAGAGGCTCACAGGATAAATCTGAACTCAATGTTGTCAAAAGAGAGACACACAGGAGAAGGGTTTGTATGGCTACAGCAGTGTGCTGTTCCAACTTCTGCATACAAATGTTTTTGCTGAGGAGTCAGGTATAGCCTTCCTTGAGCAATCTAAAAGTTATGTGAAGTCATATTTACTTTTAAAACAAAAATTTTGCCTTTTCTACAACACATTCTTGTTTAGGTTTTCATATGAAATATTAATATAAAAATGTTTCCCCAAATATAGCCTTTGGCTTTGCCTACCCTTGGCACACAGCCAAGTACCCCTTCCATTCTAGCTATGTGGGGCTAGAGAAAGAGCATACGAAGCAGTTTAGAGTACATACGTTTCTTCTCCAACTCTTCATCGTCTAAAAGAAGACTAACCACCTCTTTGGGTTTCAAGGTATCTGGTTTGAAGTTCCCACCTGAAATCACCATCCGCTGAATCTACACCAAGACAGATCAAAACATCACCTCTCAGCATCCATTCCCTTATGGCAAATAGCCAGAAAGAAGTAAACATCTTTCTCAACTTGCTCCCTACTTCTTTTCTGTTCACCTGACTGGCTCATCCAGATTATTAGTCCAACAGAAAGGGCAATGAGAACTTCATTGCTTGAGACTGCTAAGCGATAGCTAGAAAGTCCAATAATATTGAATCAGGATGAAAAAAACCAAAAATAATCATTTCTTCAGAAACTAGCAAATTTGGCATGCAACTCAGAGGCAGATAAGCTGAGAGCTCAAAAATGTCAATGCTTCTTCCTCCGAATGCAAGAGGCCATTACTGGTGTCAGTCTCCACATGAACAACAGCCAAATCTTGCTGTGGATACCCCTCTGGTGGAAAGGGAATGAGGCACAGCCAGGGCAGTTGAGACTGCTGTTGCACAGGACCTGATTTTATTTTCTATTCAGAAGAAATTGTAGTGTCTTCATGACCAATGAAAGGCAAGGGAGTCTCAGTGTAGTCATTGTGACTGGACTCTGTATTCTCCCCACCAGTATAGTAATTCCTCTCCCTTGTGTTTACCTCACTCTTCTCCTTGGCTCTCTGCAGAATACGTTCTTCAATGGTGCCTTTACAGATGAGCCGGTACACGGTAACCTGCTTTGTCTGCCCCAAACGGTGGGCCCTGTCCATGGCCTGCTGGTCCACAGTGGGATTCCAGTCGCTATCATAGAAAATCACCTGTACAGGCAGGATGAGAATATAGCAAAGACTGAAGCACTCTTAGGGTAGACAAGAAATTCAGATGGCAGCTGAGCCACTGTCTGTCTTCACCTCTCTGGTGTCACCAGGGTCAGATTTCTTTTTAACATTAAGATGAGAAGATATATCTACTCATAAAACTAACCATTCCTTCACATCCCTTGAGCAAAAGAGACCTGCTCCTGGCTTTTTTCAGTTTTCATTAAAAAGAGGGAGTATGGCTGGGCACAGTGGCTCAGTGGCCTATAATACCAGCACTTTGGGAGGCCAAGGAGGAAAGCTAGCTTAAGGCCAAGAGCTCGAGACCAGCAGTTTGAGACCAGCAGTTTGAGACCAGCCTTGGCAACATAGTGAGACCCCGTCTCCACAAAAAGCAAAAAAATAAAATTAGCTAGGTGTGGTGGCCCACCTTTGCAGTCCTAGCTAGGTGGGAGGCTGAGGCAGGAGGATCGCTTGAGGCCAGGAGCTCAAGATCACAGTAAGCTATGATGGTGCCACTGCACTCCAGCCCCAGCAACAGAGGGAGACCCTGTTT